TCCATTATCAGTTTGGACAGCAGCTCAGTGACCATCATGTCCCATACCCACTGGACAGACAAGAAAGTTGCCTCCCAGGCAGGGGAGCAGAGGGAACAGAGTGGCTCTGGAATCGGTCTCCTGACTCCCAGAGCAATGTTCCCTCCTCGCCCTGTGGAGGGAAGCCTGCAGTGAAGATGCCCTGCCCCCTCGTTACAGGTGTGCTGAGTGAGGTCATTCTGCCGGCCACATCGGGCCACACAGCACCGAGACACCAGCGCGACCTTTCTGTCAGACAAGGGGCAAGCTGAAATCTGAGCACCCTGGAGTAAGCCAGCAGGGAGGGCTGCGCCCACAGCCCCGTCAGCTAGATCCCTTATGGCAAGTCTGGGGCTCCCAGGGAGGCAAGTGGTGTACCATGGATACGGGACCCTCCCTAGGTCCTCTGCACTGGATATGTGACCTCAAGCTTGTCTCTTCACCCCATCTTTAGAAAGACAATAACAGAACTACCATGAGTGAAGCTCAGATGAATGAAGACATGAAATAAAAATAGTCGACTTTTACCAAGTCAAGCCACTGTGTGCCAGGTACCGCTCTCAACCCTTCACAGGTGCGTTATCATTTACCCATTGCTGCAACCCTGTGAGACAGGCTCTATTAATATCCCCATTTTATAGATGAGGAAACTGAGATGCAGCTGGGAAATGGCAGAGATTTGAACTGAAAGCAGGGTGACTCCAAATCCTTTACCTAGAGCCCCAGCAAGGCCAGCTTCTGTGAAGGCATTCAGTAATGTTGCTGTTGGTGCAATGATAAGTATTTTGCCACTGGTGAAATTTGCCACTGACAATGCTGTCATCTGAAAAGTCAGAAGAACGAATATCCTGACATGTTTTATACTTTAGTGTTTCTTCTTTTTTGAAGTAGGGGGTAGTTGGCAAGTGCTCAAGATAAATATGTTGGTTGAGCTGAAACATTTTATTGTCTTCTTGGAAAAGACAAAAAAAAGTGGGGGGGCGGGGGGATGGGACCCCCCATAGCCCTGCCCCCTCCTTTCACTTTTCTGTGCATGTTTATTTTTATTTTGATTCATAGTTGTGAATATGCTGTGAGAGAATTTCTGGATTCTGCATCCTTCACTTAACATAATTCTATGAGCTTCCCCCAATATGATCATTTTAATGGTGGCAGAATATTCCACCAAGTCTAACTCCCCCCCATTTTCTCCAGTGTGGAGTTTTAATTCCAATCTGATGCTGCAGAAAATATCACTAGGATTGAAGTTCTTCCTTTAACTGCCATGACTTGAAGAAGTAACTTTCTGAAGCCAGGAGGCTGGTACTGGGGAAGATCTGGGGGTCAGAGACACCTTCTCCATGTCCTAATGGTGAAGCCATTCCAAAGGTTATGCATTCCATCCATGCGCAAGGCCTCCACCCACTAAGGACAGCTGGGCCTCACCTTCTAGGCTAAGGTCATCTCTTCTACTCGCGTGAGCCATGCCACCTTACAATCTGAGGCCAGAGAGCTGGGAGCTTATCCTTAACCTCACTCTAGGCTATGAGACATCGGATTCACCACTGCTAGGGGACGTCTGTCAACCCAAGGGTGGATGGTCTCTTTGTCCTGCCAGCTGAGAAGGCCTGCGGAGGTAGAGTCCAGGCCGAGCTCTGTTCCCGAATCACTACGGACCTCAGTGTCTGTAAAATTCTCTGGCTCTGCTGCCTCCTATGTAGGAGATAGGAAAGGTAGCGGCCAATGGCACAGTCAGAGGAGAGCTCATGACACGGACTAGGCTATTCACCACACTAGGCTAGGCACCTAGAGAGCAGAGACTGCAGCATCTATGACAACATTCAAAAATACACTATCCCGCAAGCAACGATCGGCTGCCTTACATGAGCAGCAAAAAGTTATTCTCCAGCCAACAGGTCCAACGTTTAAGGCTGACTCTGCCATCATCACCCATTACCCACGTGTGATTAACTGAACACCACCTGGGTTCTGCACACCCGCTTCTTAATCTCATTTCCTTTTACTCCAACCAACCCAAGCTCATTCCTGCCTGAGAGCTTTTAGACTATGATGTCTGTCTCTCCTTTCCTCTATTACAACACCCAAGTCTCGACACAGATGTCACCTCTTCTAGGAGACCCATTAGACACCTTGTCTAGGTTACCGTTCCTCCTCTATCGCCTCATCCTGTTTTATGTTCCTTTCAACACTGAACAACTATCTGAGATGATATTGTTGACTTCAGTGTTTCCTTGATCCATGTCCACAAGCTCCTCCTTGAATGTCATATCCAAGAGAGCAGGGACTAAAACTGTCTAAGCCACCACCTATCCCTCAAACCCCACAAGGATATGATAACTGATTCTGGGAAGTTCCAAGCACAACTGGACATATGGAGCCCACAGGTATTGCGCATCCACTCTCTGCCAGGCCAAGTCCTTAACATATAGCAACTCTTGTAATACCCCCAGCACCCACTGAACTAGCAACAAACATTATTCCCATTTTATAAAAGGGTACTTGAGACACACAACAGTTGAAGTTCAAGATCCCATGTCAAGATCCCATAGTTGGGCAGTAGCCCGCTGTAAGTATGCTGAGTCATACACAGAACAGAGTCTCTGTCCTTATGATGCTCTGCGATTGATAGGCAAGCTGATCCAGTCCACAATGTAAAAAAGCATGGACATTTCCTGGAGGAAGTGATACCCCAGTTAAGTCCTGAGGATAAGAAGGATTTTTTTTAATTAAAAAGTTTATTTTTACATCATTTTGCACATTTTTTTTCCATCTCAATTGTAATCCCCGCGGGTTTCCCATCACCAAATCACCCCTGTGCCACCACCATAGTCCCGTGCATTTCCCTCCCTTCCCCCCCCCCCCGTTTTTGATCCCATTCCCCACTCCACCCCCACAGAATGTCTCTGGTATATAGTTGTTCATTATTTTTGTTATTTTCTCGCCTGGTCCATTATACTCTTGCTATGAGTGAAACCATCCGGTATTTTTCTTTCTCTTTCTGGCTTCTCTCACTAAGCATGATCTTTTCCAGCTCCATCCAAGTTGCTGCAAAAGACATGTGTTTCTCTTTTTTGGTTGCTGAGTAATATTCCATTGTATATATGTACCACAGATAAGAAGGATTTTTGAGGGTAAAGTGGAGGGAAGGGCAACCTTGAATAGAGGAAACTGCAGAAGCTAAGAGACAGTAAGAGCACAGAAGCCTGAGGCCTCCCTGGTGGCCTACTGGCAAAGTCTGAGAACTACCACCAGTGCAAAGCAGCCTGAGTGGATCCCCAGCCAGGGAGCAGCAAGCCTCTCCTGTTTCATGGGTTGCTCCCCGCAGCAGTGTATTTCAGTGGATCTGCCTGTTCTGCTCCCCACTCTTTATCTCATGAATCCTCTCACACCCTGCACCTCTGGCCTGTACCCCAGTTGTACAATAAAACCTACAATAATGGAATAATTCTTAAAAAAAAAAAAAAAAAAAGAGCACAGAAGCCCAAGGAACTAGAAGTTGGTTTCTGTGGCTGGAGTAGGGGGCGGGGAGGGGGGGAGTGCCATGAGTAAAGGGGTATGGTCCCTTAAACTTCAGTGATTGAAGTTTTAAAAAAAGTCCTAGGACAAAATATGAAGCAATACAACTGGAATGAAACAAGAATGATGGGCAGGGTATCCCGCCCCCATCTTGCAGGGCCTTAGCAAATTTCATCCCGGGGTTTATAAGCCACATTATCAAAGACTATGTGCACTCCTGACTTAGTGGTACCCAAAACCATGGATGTCTCTGGAAATTTCTGCTGACTCACTAAGAGACCTTAGCACCTTCATGCCCTTTTCGGTCTTATCCTCCCAATTGGTGCAGATGACCCAGTCCCCAATCACATCTGGCTCCACCAGCCTTGAATCCCATAAACAGAACGTTGTTGACCAATGGGATCTTGGCATTCCTAGAGTCTGATCCCGGACTCAGACTCTACGCCCTGGCCATCCTGTGCTTGCTGAGGCTGGCCCACCACCGTGGCACTTCTCCAAGCAGTCTCTGTGCAGGGGGCTGAGTTTTCTGCTCCTAGGTCCTGCCAAGATATGGGGGCTCCCCCAGGCTTTGGTTGGATGGTGGGTGGGGGTGTCTGTTGAGATCCTCCCAGAGACAAAGGAGCTGACCTGCAAAGAGTTCCAGCGGGAGCCCTACTCCCCCTCCCTTCCCCCCTCTCCCTTCCTAGTCCACGTGTCTCTATTGTCTGCTCCCCGCTTCAGGGAAAGACACAGCCTCGGATGTGTCAAAACCACCACCCCCCGGCAGCAGGGAAATTAATTACTGGACGATTTTCACTTCCTCTTGCAACACTCGCTTGAGCTAGGCACCGGAACAGGACTGGCTGAGAAAGCTGGGCATGGGGACTTGCCCCCCCCCATTTCCGAGAGAAAAAAAGTTGAACCCCAAACCCATAGGGGGCTTCAGTGGGAAGTCAAACTGGGTGGGGGAATGACTTCCTCTAGTTGAAGCTGAGTGTCCACACTGGCCACTTCTGAACTGGGGGAGTGGGAGAGGCAGGAGGGTCCCTGCTGGCAAGCTCACACTCTTTTCTTTGCATTCACTTTCCTGTGTCCCCATGCGTCTGAACCCCGCTGGCTCACATCACTCTCTCTCCTCTCTCCTTGGTTTCGCTATCTTTCACTTTTCTTCCCTTTTTTGCACCCCTGAGGATCTTTCTTTTTGTGTGTCTGGATCTCTTTTCCTCCTATATGTGTGTGTGTGCGTGTGCCTGTGCGTGTGTGTATGTGTGTGTGATTTTACTTCTCTCCATCTCTGTCTTTCTTCTCTTTCGGTTTCTCTCGTGTCTTTTTGTCCTTATCTTGGTCTCTCTGTTTCTATTTCTATCTCTTATATTGTATCTCTCTCCGTATGTCTCTGCCTTTCTCATCTCTTCTCCTCTCTCTCTTTCTCTCACTCTCTCCCCCTCCCCCTCCCTTTCTCCGTCTCTCAGTATCTCTGCGCCGTTCTCGCCCTCACTTTCTCCCCTCCTGCCTGCCCGCTGCTCCCTGCTCCTGGCTTGCCCCCACCGCCGCCAGTTCAGGGGAACGTGTGCGGAGCGATTGTCCTGGGGGACATTTGATGGATTAGAGCTCTGAACAGTTCCATTGCTAGGGGACCACCTGATCTCCTCCAGCCTGCGTCCCATATAAAGCCGGCAGCCGGAGTGCTGAGCACAGCTCCAGCGATCGCCTGTCTGCGCGCCGCCGTCGCCAAGCCCGAGCGGGAGCCAGAGCCAGAGCCGGGGCCGCCGCCACCGGTGCCGGCTCCGCTCTGCCGCCGCCCGCCCGCTGGGAGCTGTCCAGTGCTGAAACCCCGTGCAGACAGCCAATCGCGCCCGGCTGGCCGCCTCCCCCTACCGGGGCCCCACGCAAGTGCCCCGCCGAGCCCCCTGCCAGTAGCACCATGCCGCGCTCTTTCCTGGTAAAGAAGATCAAAGGGGACGGCTTCCAGTGCAGCGGGGTGCCGGCCCCCACCTACCACCCCTTGGAGACCGCCTACGTGCTGCCTGGCGCCCGGGGGCCGCCCGGAGACAACGGTAAGTGGGACCCTGCGGGGGGGTGGGGGCGAAAGAGTGATGGGGAGTTCGGGCCTCCCCAGCTCGGGCCACGAGGAGGGGTGCGCGCGGCAGGGAACCCCGGGAGGAGATTTCCGTGGCCGTGTGCTCCTCCGGGGCTTCCCGAGGGCCAGCGGGCGGGGCAGGAACTAGGTCCATACAAAGGGAAAGTCGCGGGTCGGCCCATCCCGTAACCAAGCACCAACCCGGACTTTGAAAGTTGTGGCCCTAGTAATGGGGTGGTGAGAGAATGGTGAGAGGGGGGCGCCCATGAAGGGCTAATGCTGGGGATTAATGCACAAGACAGTTTGTGGGTCCCCTCTCCCTGGTTGAGGAAGAAGGCTAGTAGCCAGAGTATTCTCCCCTGGTGGGGAAGATAAGTGGGCCGGGACTTCCAGTCCTTGGGGAGATGGGGCTGGCTTCCTGCAGATAGCTGGGAGCGCCCTCCTTCCTTCAAACCTGCTCCCCCTGGCGATGCCAGACAAGTGTTCTCAGGACCCTCTCTCAGTAACTCTTTTGTTACCCTCAGCCACATGCCTGCCAAAGGCTGGGCCTGTCCTGGAGACTGTGGGGTAGAGGGAATTTCTAGGAGGGGTTCCCCCAAAGTGACTCCTGATTCCTTGGGCTGAGCTCCCTCTTACTCCCAGCTTCTCACCAGCTTCCAGAGGCAGCCTTGCTGCTCCTTGTAAGTCCCCCACCCCCAACATACTCCATCTCTTCTCAGAGCAAGTTCCTGCAGAGACAAGGATTTGGGGGACAAGAGAGGTCATTTAGGCCCAAAATGGGATTATCTCTGGAGGGCATGGATACTTTGATGGACCCATTCCCCAGGAAGGGGATCACAAAGGGGTTGCCTTCTGATGGTCCCCACCACCAGCAGGTATCTAGAGAGAAGACATTCCTGTGGCAGTTAGAAATCTGACATCACACAGGGCATCAGCTTTGGGGTGTGTGTGCGTGCGCGCGCGCGCGCGTATATTTGTGTGTGTGTGTGTGTGTGTGTGTGTGTGTGTGTGTGTGAAAGAGAGAGAGAGAGGCAAAGGAGAGAAGAGGAGAGGAGAGAAGAAAGGACTAAGGGTGAAGGGAGAGCTGAGCTGGCAAAGGCAGGAGCCAAGGAGGGTGAGAGTTTCCACCTCAGGGATTTCTAAGCTCTTCACCCACATTCCATCACTCTGCAAAGCAGGTAGCATGAGGGCACTGGGCAAAGGGCTCGGTGACCTCATCAAGGTCAAAGAAATTAGGAAGAGATAAGAGATATAGTTACAGCCTCTCAGCACCCCCTCCCCCCAGCCTTTCCCAGATCCTCAACAGAATCAACCTTTCTCTTTACCCACGTATTCTTTATCCTACTGTTCTCTTTTCTTGACTTCAGGGCCTTGTGGGGTCAAAAACAGAAGTCTAGATATATAGCTGGGTTTGGCTGAGTCCTGGACTAGAAGGACAGAGGGTGGACCTGGGGCCACGCCAGGCCTGGGAAGAGTGTGCTGGGAGCTGGATAAAAACTATAATGTCTGCTAGGTTGGCATGTGGATCCTTGAGGCACTGACACAAAGCTCTGGGCTCCCATCCCCTGAGGCCCCTTCGTCCTGTCCCCAGGCCAGCTGAGGAAGCCTAGAGAATGTCCTGTGCACAGCCAAAACTGCAGGGTATTCCTCAGGAGAACGGCTAGGTTGCCTTGCCTCGAATCCAATCCAATGAAGCTTTGAAGGGAGCCCAAGTGAATGGTGGGAAATAGGGTCAGGGCAAAGTCATATACAAGGGTGTTCCTGCTGAGAATCTACTAGGTTTGACCCTCTAGAACCACCTTTCTCTTTGGTCCACCCCCCAAAGACTTCTAGACCAGTTCCCTGGACTCTGGGAATCCTGAGAGTGTCCTGACAGCCTGGCATCTGGCCTGGAATCTGGGCCTGGGCTCTAGACCGCTGACTCGCTATGTGACCTTGGGCAAGTACCTTCCCTTCTCTGGCCTTCTGCCTCCCCAGCAGTGAAATGGTTTAGATGGCATGAACTAATATCCTGCTAACTTTGACAAGCTCAGCTTTTGTGAAGGTCAAGTGTGGGGTGGGAAGCACTGGAGATGCCTAGACTGGGTCTTCAATGCAGGGGGCCATTGTCAGGATTTCTTTAAGGCTCTATTTAACCTCCAAAGCTTGGCTGGGAGTGGCAGAGTTTCTGGGATCAGGCTTTTTTTTTTTTTTTTTTTTTTGCTTCAGTCTTTGTAGGCTCCCCTGTGGTGAGAATAGGCACCCTGGCCTGACTTTCCAGCAGTGTCTGCAGTAGATGACTAGTACTGGAGACAAGGAGGTGACCATTTGAGGCTGACAGGACCAGGAAGCACAGAATCTGCCTGGTCCTGTCTTCAGGGGCCTCTCCCACCCTGGGAGGTGGCCAGACTGGACAGTGTAGGCCTCTTCACCCCATGGGTGGGCAAGGATGCTAGGGATCCTCAAAAAGCCCACTGTCTCCTAGCGGCCTGTTGTCTCTGCTCTGCCGGAAATAACCTTGCTGAGCATTTGAGGGAAGTGTGAAAAATTGCTGAGCTGACGTTTTTTTTTTCTCTCTCCCAGTGTGTGTAAGTGTGCTGGGTAAACAAGGAGAAAGAAAGGAGGGGGGGAGGTGAGGAGAGGGAGGGAGGAGGAGGAGGAGGGAGGGAGGGAAGGAGGGAGGGAGAGAGGTGGAGGGCCTGGGGTTGGAGATAGTTCCAGTTATTAGAAAGATCCTCTTACAAGCCATTCCTGCAGCAATGGCTGCAGAGTCAGGGTGAGCCTGTGGGGAGGAGAATCAGAGTGGTGAGCGGATATAGGAAGGGAGTCTATAAATGGGGGGTCAGGGCAACCACAGGCTCTAAATTGATGAAGATGCAGGACCCCAAATTAACCCAGCTCAGGGAATGCCTAGGCATGCTGGAGAATTCCTGGAGGACGCCTCCTACACACGCGCACACACACAAAATGCTCTTCTTTGCTTCTCTGCTTCCTTCCTTTTCATCCTCCATGGGTTAAGCTGACAGTACATCTGGGTTCCAGTTTCCCCAAGTCCACAGAACTAGATAGGAAAGGGAAACCTCCCAAAAGAGGAGCTCCAGGACTCTGAAGAGCACCCCAAAGAAGGGAGACCCTCTCCATTTTCACTACCTTTCCAAAGCAATACCTCTTCTCTCCAGCTCCTCCTCCTCTTACTCCTCCTGTTTTCTGCCCTCATGGAACCTTCCCTGCCTCTCTTCTCCCCTGGGTGATTCTGAGTACAGATTCAGTACACAGTGATATGCCAACTCACATCCTCCAACCCTCCCAGTGCCTCACCCTCCAAATCCACCAAGCCCACCCCTTCACAGACCCGGTCCCATCCTGGGGGTGCGGAAACCTGGGCCATCCCAGAGAAGGCTGTAGCTCCTCCTCCTGCACAGAGGTGGTCTCCGTGGACCCCTGCCAAGGACATCTTTACTGTCCCTGGAGTATCCAGCTCACCTCCCACCCTAACTGAACTCTCGCTGGGGGACAGGTTTCCCTCCTCTGCACCCCCACTCTGTCCTTCCCCCATACTCCTTCAGAGTACCTCCAGTATAAGCAGGTGAGGGATCCTTGCCAATCCAGTCACATAGCTGTGGGTCCTCCGCAGCTACATTAAGCCTCCCCAGCAGACTAAGGATGCTCTCTTACTTCTGCCTCCACTGACCACATTATCCCAGCACCCACTTCCTCTTACATCTGTGATGGTGCTGGGGAGTCTCCTCAGACCAGTCTGGCTGAAAGTTCCAATCTGCCACATATCCAACTCACTCCTCTGAAAGGCCCTCTGGGGAGCAGGGGGTAAATCTCAATCCCTTGGCAGAGGGAGCCTAGAGAAGGACACAAGGTCTACCTGGGTCTTCTATAACCACTACTTCCCCTGGCATCTCAGTCTGGGTCCAGGCCCAAGACCAGGTTGGAGATATGTCAGTGATTCATATCTAACATCCAGGCCCAACCTGACATCGAGGACCAGGCCTGAGATCTAGGTCCACTATCAATGTCTGAAGTTATAGTCCAGCCCAAGATTCAGGATAATCTTGTCCTGTCCAAGTTCAAATCCAGGTCAAAGTTCAAGATCCAGAATCAAAGTCCAGGTCCAATTTCTAGACCAAGTTCAGACCCATTCTCAAGACTGGTCATATTCAAGCCTTAGGAACATTTTAATGTTTCTCTATGGCCTTGGATGAATCTCCCCAGGATCAGTTTCCCCCTCATGAAATCAATCAGTTGAACTTTCTTTCAGCTCTGACCTTCTGGGGACCCAGTAAACTGATTTTTTTAAGAATTAATCAGTGGAATATATAATAACAGGACCCATGCGGGATAGGAAATTTTAGGGGGTCATACTCCCCCCAAAGCTTGGGATCACAAGGGGGAACATGAGAGTTCTGAGCTAAGAGTCCACTCTTCGGACAGTCTCAGGCTGTGGTTCCTCAGGGAAGACAGAAGAGTACACCAAGTCCTTATGTCCACACAGCAATTTATACATCCCACAGGCCACACAACAATGGACAGTGAGCAGAGGAGATAATTAGCTCCAACCTACAGGCACAAACCTGAGGCCAGGAAGTCTGTGACATGCCTGGGTTCACAAGGGCATAAATAGTGAATCTTATCATATCTCTCCCTAGTGGGTGCTTCATCTACGTGCTCTAGGGACCCCCATAGCCTAGAGACCCACTGGGGTCTCCCTGGAGTAGACTGTCCCACCAACCTGTGGATAAGGAGGGCACTAGAACAGGCCCTCTGTCTGCAGAAAGGGCAGAAAGCAGGAGGGTCTGGAGAGATCTGGCATTTGTGCAGACCCTGTCCCCAGAAGGTACCAGGGAAGGCCCACAGGGACACCCCCAAGGAGCTGGGGGCACCTCCACGAACCTGTGTGGGACAATTCAAGCCCTTCAGGCATGCACTCCTATCACACATCCCCTTGAAGAAGCTTTCCTATTGATTCCAGCAGAGCTGTGGGCCTCC